CTATACAGGTAGCATTCTAGGAAACATGCAGGCGTGATTATCGGTTTATACTGAAACGTCGAAATCGTTTAGTTAATCGTTCATCTTCGGGATGGCGATTGCCATCCTCAAAGAGGTTGTGTTTGGGAGGGCGCTCACCGCTCTCCCTGAGAATTGTCAGAAGCGTTTGCCAACCGGGAGTTTGCTGGAGGGCCACTCCGCTCGATAAGTCATGTTTGCTCGCGACTTCTGCTAAAAGTTTTTCTTCATCCTGCGTTGCATTGACCTCATCAGCAGATAGTTCCGGGCGTGGCATCGTTAGTAGGATACTACATATTAACTCAATGACAGAAGGAGGATAGAAAAAAAGGATTCAGTCATTAACAAATTAGCAAGGGAAGACAGGCCCATTTCGGCATATTAAGTTGTATGCGGATCGCAAAGCAAACGATGACATAAAGCTCAGGTGGAAGTACGAACCTCATCTAGAATTCCCATTGTATGTAGGAAACACAACATATGGAAATCGCTAACAGCCTGCACAGGGTCCTCATGGGCTTTGCTCAGCTGCTTCGCCACAGCACCCAAATCTTGAATTTGGCCAATAATTTCACGATTCTCCACAGGGAATTGGCCCTTTGGAGCGATGAACATAGGATCCGGATTGTGAGGAAATCCGTGCGTTAGAGTCACTAACAAATAATCCACAGGGAACGAAACTTTGGCATTTTCCTGGACGGATGCGCCGTATTCATTGATTCTCCGGTAGAAGACCTCAGGAATATATCGACTGCGTTCATCTTCTTCACGCACCAACATAACGGTTGGGTCCGCACTTGGCTCGACTATATCCGCCTTGACCATTTCAACAGCTATATTGCTGACCTGGTATGATGCAACATCGATGCCCCCCTGTTCATTTCCAGAAACAACACAGGTTACGAATTTGGACCCAAACCTCCCAGTTTCACTCCATCTGGATGGGTTAGGGTGTGCAGCTTGCAGCCGTGCAGCAAAGGCAATCTCAAGTGATGTTAAAAAGTAAGAATCGATATGCCGCTTACATAACACAGTACCTTGTCCTGTGCCATCGTCCACGAGGTCTGTGAAAATTACTCCAACCTACATGCGGGGTGTAAGAGAGCCAGTCAATGGAGAGATCGCTCGTTACACCACACCATAGAAATTTATGAAGGAAACAAGTGAATACAACAGGGCGGGGGTACAATCAAGTTTACCTTATGTAAGCCACACAATGCAGCAACTTCATCCTCACCTTTCTCACCTTCCCATGGCAAGGTGAGAGTAACTCCATCGGATTCTCCAACCTGAGGTGCCTCGTATATCGCCTCTACTATTGCTTTGATTCCCAGTGGAACTTCCGAATATGGTGCGTATCGACCGTACAAGTAGCCTATCCTTTGACTGCCACTTGCTCGCCAAAAGTTGATGAAATTATCTATCAAACCTGGGTCAGAGAACTCAACATGATCCACCATTCGGAACTCTTGCGGCTTTAGGGTGATGGCACTTGGTTGACATTTTGCACAAATTCCGTCTGGCCATGGAGCATGCCCTGATGGACATTGTTTCTTCACCCTATAGTATGGCTCCGTCAGCGGTGGTATATATGACGTTGGATTTTCTGGCTTGTTCGTGGCCGTGTTGATCTTCTTGAGGTAGGAATGGAACGAAAGGTGCTTGATCTTCTTCTCCGCAAGATATGCAGCGTCGTACGGCTCTAATGGCATGCAGTAATCACACATCCCTTTCGGCCCATGCTTACACATCTTGTGGTCCCTTCCTCTTGGTATTTTCCCATCCTGTTTCTCAAGAGCATTATCTATGGGGTCTTGCTTGACTGACTCCCATGGATTTGCCAGTTTCTTGATGTCGTCTTCTGGGTCTTTCGGCCTGAGTGAGGCATCTTCTCCCGGGCGGATTGCCTGACCGTTGAGCCGACCGCTGGACTGCTGAGGATTGGGTTGAGGTTTTGTTTCTTTAGCACCTTCATCATTTTTGGAATAGCTGAGAAAGAGCAGGTCTCCATGTCTGCAAAGCGAGTGTTAGTCTGGAGTTGATGAAGGAATATTCGTCATATCCCTACTTCAAACCTGCATTTTTGATCGATATCCCACTCAAAGCACTTAGAGGCCTAGTCTTTCCATTGTGTGGTGCATCAGAAATGACAACAGATGATGGATTAACTTCAGGTTCGAGAACACCCATCAACTACCAGCCCCTCAAGTGTCAGTAGATAACAGTATATATTTGAATAGCATGGCCGATTATGTAGGATACCTTCTCTGAAAGTATTGAGATATCCTGATCTGGTTGAACTTCGATACGGTAGGCTCCATCAGGAGATCGAAAACGAAGTATCACCATTAGAAGTATACACACTTGTCGAGGGTAATAGGCCTGGTTTGGTAACAGAAGCTTTTTCGTTTGATCGCACAAATCGCGGGGTATTGACTGTGTGTGCGTATTGACTGAAGCTGGGATGCTGCAGAAGCACAAAGACGTAACGGACAGGAGCCCTCACGTGCACTGCGTAAGACGCCTCGTACTGTTTCTGAAGCTTTAACTTAGTCAGCAAGTGAACAGAAGCCACTAAACTGTAGAGGACACGGTGCCTTTGCGGCCACACTTAATGAGTCGAATGTTCACCAACTTGCAGCCACAAAATTAAGTACTTGCAGCAATTGTTCGTCGGTTTTCTCATCCGGAGGTGAAGAAGTTTGTGTTGCAGATTGCAGAGGGCTCCATATTATCAATAATAAGGGGGTTTTGTAAACCTCCCGACTCAGTGCTTGCACGCAGGTAGCTCCGAATTACCATCCTTCCATACCAAACAAGGGACACTCCCCTTATTTCTTTTCTGCAATGGCGAAGCTTAGTATACTCGCCCCTCTTGTATACATTGCTGTTCTTGTAGGGTCTTTGGCAGTGTTCTCATCACTATACCGGAAGCGAAAAGCCAGTATGTACCACCATCTCCAATCAACATATTTGTGCTAACACAGTAACTTAGATAGAGCTGCTTCTCTTGAGCCCTGGTTCCCCACTCATACCGCTCGCGATGTCTATCTTACCCTTTTACATATGGACCCTCCTGTTCCAGCCTCTCTCCTCAAGGCTGCTCTTCTACGTCGAGCTACCGAGGACATTCACCGAATAATTACTATTCGTTCGGCAAAGCAGGCTTTGGCGCAGCTTCTCCAACGGGGTAGTATCGGAGATGACCTCTGGACCAGATTCACTGCTGCCGAAAAAGAAATCGAAGAGGTAAGAACCCACCAATACCACTTACATCCACTGAAGATATTCTAAACTCCTTCCCAGGAACTCCGTGACGTGGTCATGGAAGCCAATGCCTTCAAGCAGGACTGGGGCGCGACCATTTTTCAAAGTGCAAACGAAATGCTCCTCAACGAAAAACTCCGCGAGCGTGCTGCCGAAGTCGCAACCCAAGCTGCCAACGAGCGTGCCTGGTGGGACGAGAAACGTGAACGAGTCCAACGTGAACTCTTTTCTTCAGCTTCCGATTCCCCAACAACTTCTACCGCAACCCCCGTAACATCTGGTATTGAAAGCCCAAAGAGTGAGGAGGAGAGGCTTGTTGCCGATGAGGAGAAGACTCCAAACCCAGCTATCACTGCGGGAGGGCTCAGGCCAGGCACACCGAGCAAAGGAGTAGCGAGGCCACAAACACCGACGACTCCCGGTGGAAGAAAGAAGGGTAAGAAGGGCACACAAAAGAGATAATTTCCTTTTTCGTTCCTGACCGGATTTTTTCCTTCATGATTCTAGATTAATGAGGGGATTCTTTATGGGGAGGAATTTTGTGAATGTGGCTATGTGGCCTTTATGGCTAGAATGATATATCAAAATTGATAGTTTTTCCTTTATGATAAATTGGAAAAAGGTTGGATGAAAGGTGAGGTAACGAGGTACGAGACGTTAGATTGTTTTTTTACCATTTATCTCTACGTCTCTCAGAGTTGCCCTCCAGTTTGAGTTTTTACAGCCTGATTTTTTCTGTGCATTCCCTAAATTTATACGCTTTTCTTTGTAGTTCGAATTTTATTCGTTTGGGGGAGTTCTTGCTATACATCTATTGTTTGTGCTCTTTGCTCTATAGTGGAATTGGGTGTTGCTTTTTTTCTGTTCCTACAAGTACCTCTTTACAGGTATGTTTGGAAAGAAATATAATCTAGATTGTTGTTTCTTGCGAGCTTATAGTCTTCGAAATAGAATGAAGTACCGCCTAACTATAGCTATCTGAGGTAGGGGTTAATGATTGCAATTGCACTGCTTTGATAGAGCTGCTATTCTATGCCACCCGCAGTCATCAACATTGGTCGAGGTATTCCTGGTTACCCTGAACTTGCTGAAGGACGCACCAACAAATTTATTAATCTAAGTAATTTTTGAATCCTCATGAACCCCATAAAAGAGCTACTGTTATAAGCGTATGAAATACAACCTGAGGACTTAGGTGACTTTTATTTGGCAACTTAGAGAGCCTGTATTCTCTCACTGCTAGAACCTGCTCCCGTCCATGCTGAGTTTGAAAAGGACTAGTTAGAGGGATATTGTACTTGTGGCAAATTCAATCTGAAGATATTTAAGGCACCTGCAACGATGACTGTGAATCAAATGTCCCTCCTCGCGATCACGGTCGTCACTGGCGCCGTGAATTACTGGGGGTTCTTTATCATCTTTCCATGCCTCCATAGGCGCAGATAGTTCGCGGATGGCCAGGCTTTAGCAGAAGGCCCTGGTGCGGGTGCACGATTGGGCTAATGTAACATTCTCTGTTACCCTCAATTCTGCGTTTGGGCTCTGAAGTCAGGTCTGAAAAAGACTAGAGAAATTAAAATTGTAGCTGAGGTACCTAAGTAAATCTAGCCTCGTTCATTTTGGACCTGAATAGCGCTTATGTTGAGACTGATAGATTTCTTTCTTATTCTTCTCATTCAATCGCCTGGCTAACATAAAGAAGAAAAAAAGGGATAAGGCTCAGCTGGGAATTGAACGCAGATCACCTACTCTCTGCATCAATTTACCATCAATTTAGCAGGTCATTACATAGCAGGAGTCATACCATTAGACCACTGTGCCTTTTGGAAAACATTGGCCCTCAACCGCTTTTCTTGGGCTCTGATATGTCCTTCTCCAACTTGCACAGGAAATAAAGGATAGCCCAGCTGGGGACTCTCTCTGTACCTATTTCGCAGGGAGTTACGTAGCAGGTCGTTACGTAGCAGGAGTCATACCATTCGACCACTGACCCTTTGGGATACTAGGATTTAGTTGAATATTGGGATAGTAGCAAGGGGCTAGGCACGATAATAAGAGTAACTTTGGCCCTCTAACGCGAATACCGTTAAATGTAACTCGTGGATTACTACGGTAGGATAACATATGTCCTCAGCATCATCACAATTACTAGGGAGAAAGAAGAAGGAGAAGTAGATGACGATGATGGCCACGAGTTACGGGCTCGTAAGGTTCAAATCGAATAGTCTGTCAGAGCCATCAATGTTAGAGGTTAGGGGCTTTACATTACATGCTATGGCTGAAGAAAGACCTCACCTCAAGTACGTCTCACTATTTTTTGTTGTTGCTCAAGTGGCCAATTGATATTCTATCCCCAATCCACAAAAGTGAGGATGTGGTGGGTACGTAAATTCATAAATCAACCGAGTTATATACATACATATGTAGTGTTACCCTGAAGAATTGTTATATATATAAAAATGCACAAAACCTGTTAGGGCGTACATACCTTTAAGGAAGCATGGTAAGTAGTGAGGACTTGAGGCCTAATAATCCGAACTACATTTTTATTAAGCTTTCCCTGAAGTGGGCATAATATAACTATGAGATATGCTATCGTATACTATATTTACTTCCCTACTCCTGCCCTCCTCACCATGTCACCAGCATATACCTCCCTATTCAGCCACCTTTCCAACCTCCTCTCCCTTCCTCTCAGGCACCTTCTTCAAAACCCACACCATATCCTCCATCTCCAACCCCACCCACCACCCCTTCAATACTGGCCTCCCAATCTTCTCCAACATTCCCCACACCCTCGCCGCTGCATTCTTCCACCCGGGTCCCGTACACACTTCTCCACCACGCAGCCCAGTCTCTTCCCCAGGTCGATAAACCTTTACCCGCTTCAATCCCCGAACTACATCCACGACTTCCCAGTTCCCAATTACCCTTGCTGGGCCGGAAGAGGAAAGGACCCAGTCGATGGAGTCCCAGAAGGAGGGGGTGAGGAGGGTCGTTGGGGTTTCAGTTTTGTCGAAGCGAATTTGAGATGAGGAAGAGGTTGGGGGGGTGGAGGATGTTTCAAACCATTCTTTCTCCTTTTCCTTCTCCTTGTCCGAGGAGGGCAGGGGGTAGAGAGGATCGTCTTGGAGGAATCGGGTTGCGCCAGTCATGCACACAGGTACATCGAGGTGCACAGTAACAGGTCCTCTGTGCGTACTAGGATACTGCGGGAGAAGGGTGTGCAGCCGCGAGAGAGCTTCCCCGCCCGGATAGTTCGCAGAAGAAATCAACAACATCGCAGTACTTCCTGCGAATGTAGCAATTACCGAAGTTACGAGCAAGAAAGCCATCGCTGGAGCCTTCCCGCGCCGAATCCAGATCCAGTTGGCCCCAAGCGCAGCAGAGAGAGTGATATGCGGAACTACATAAACAATAAACCTCCACTCCTTATGCGCTAAGTATGAATACCCCGCTACAAACGATAATACAGGGAGTAACAAAGTCGCGGTCGGCCTACTCAGTGCAGGTCGTGACAATGCAATTGGCAACAGAAACAGTAGAGCAAACGGGTTCATTAACAGCTTGGGTACACTCGATGTGAAATACGTATACCAAGGACTTGTACCCCACTGGGAAGCTGAGCCTTCGACGGCGTTGAAGTGGAATGCACTGTACTCTGGCCAGACAAGGCCAAAGGTTTTTGTGAGAATGGGAGTGGTGAATATAGGCGGGACGATTTTGGTGGAGTAGGATTGCCAGAAGAAGGAGTCAAGGGCGAGGGTAAGAGTGAGTCCTACGACGGCACCGCAGAGGCCGGCGGGGATGATTACCCGCGAGATGGAGGTCCGTCGTTGGAGGAGTAGGGAGAGGATTTGGGTGATGAGCAGGAGGGCAATTTCAGAGCGGAAGATGATGCCGGTTATGGTGAGGAGATAAATACCGAGGCGTTGGGAGCGGTGGTAGGTTTTGGTGGGGGTGGGGGTGGGGGTGGGAATGAATTGCTGGAGGGCGGTAGTTGCTGTGGAGGTGGGGTGTTAGCTAGGGGGTATATTTGATATGGCAGGGGCGAGGCACGGCTTACTGAGTGCGAACGCGAACATGTTGGGTAGTGTTCGGGAGGCGTAGAAAAGGACATGGAATTGCGTTGCTTGGAGGAGGATATACCAATTCGCTACTCCTCGTCCAAAAGCTGCCTGGGCTGCTCGAGCATAACATATGAGAGCTAAGGCGTTCAAAAGACCCAGTACACCTCTGACTGCCCAGCCCAACCCAATTAGCTTCTGTAGAGTCAATTGGGGTATTGCAGATGTATACCGATGACCTGCTCATTCACCATCCCCCCCGTGAGCATGATAAACGGCTTCGACAAGCCTGCTAACACCAAAGCCCCAACGAACGTCCTAGGAACTACCCCAGGAAAGCTGAAATGATCATATTCAGCCTTGAAGAGGGCTGCTGCACTGGGGGAGCGAGGGTCAGGAATGCCGTAGTGGAGGATGTCGTGCGCGGCCTGGAGGTTGAAGGATTCTTCGACCTTGGAGTAGGGGGCGAGGAGGAGGTGGAGGAGAATGACGGTTGGGATAAGTAGGGGGAGAAGGTGATCTGATAGAAATTTAGCAATTGATCATGAGTGTCACCTAGAGGATGCTTGAGAAGGGCGAGATTATGCTACCGATGAGAGCCATTGTGAAGCCTATGGGATAGTCCCCACAGCTGTGTCGAGTTGCGGTTCAGATGTTGGGGCTGAAAGGTGCGCCGGGCTCATGATTTAGAGCCGCAGGCACATGTACTGTGCAGATCACAAGGATTTTGACCGCCAGAGGGGTTTGTATGTGCAATGTATACATGCGATATCAAATCGAAATATAAGTTGGTAATTGGAATATACGTAAGGAAACAATCGATGCCCGGTAAACTCAACCTAATGATCCACAAGTACACCTCGGGCTCCCTGCCTCATGACCCCCAGACCGACCCTCTTAATCAGGCCTCCTTGTAGCAAAGTTCTCCAGATCCTGCCTCGTCGCAACTCCCAGCACAAATCTCCGCTTGTCGTCCGTCACCACTGCAAACTCCCTCCCATCCTCACTCAAGAATTCGTCCAACTCCTCCAATGGTGTATCTGGGGTAATGACCTTATACACCTTCCCCTTCGTTCTGAACCGGTTCATGGCCTTTGACACTTGGTCTGATTCCGATATTGTTCCCTCCTGAAGCATCTTCTTGATCTTCTCAACATCGAGGTATCCCAGTAGTGATCGGGTTTTGGCCGAGATGACTGTTAGCTGCGAGAAGTCTCTGTCGTATGACAGCCCGAGTGCATTGCCTACGGAAGATTCGGGGGTAATTGAGAGAGCTGGCGCAAGGTCTAGGTCTTCGATTGTCGCCTATGGAGCTCAAAAGGTGAGTTGGATCGAGGTAATCGGACTATGGTGGGGTAGTGGGATGTGGGCCAAAACTTACTCCACGGTACTTTGCAGCCAGGGACTTTTTGGACGTTGAAGAGGACGGCTGGGGTATTCCAAGTATTCCCGTAGGTATCATTGGCGCCGCAACTGACATGTTGTGAGCGTTCACTTGGGGGCAGAATTGTTGCCCTCGTCTTCTGGTTGCTCGTGAAGAGAGTTAAGCGGGATGGTTTTGGAACTTGGGGCACTAAAGCTACGTTTGGTACATGCGGTATGGAGTCGTGACAAGCTCACATCACACCTATTTTTGCAAAATTAAGTCTCATTCTACCGCCAGTCAACGGTTTGCCGGTGTGGGCATTTATTCCAATGCTTCTATGCTGCAGAAATGTACAGAACCACCTCAGGCGTTTGGTCTGTCCAATATAACCATGCTTATACAGCTTGACGTCATAACCATAGAAGCCAAAATAAACTACAAGTTGCTCCTGTTCTATTTTCCTACCGGACCTGGTCATCCGGTTTGAGATTGTGCCGTTATCTTCACTCATTGCACATGACACGCCGGATTCATGCTGGAATTTTTATTTTTGAGTTCATATTCTGACTCTCGTTGAGGCTCCAATACCCATATACCCATTCCCTTTGCTCCGCCTATAGCTAATACATCCTCGGAATAAAGAAGCTTTCAGTTCCCTTGTATAAAGATGCCTTTGCCTATCTGGTGCCCATCTCAAGAAGTCCTGGCCGCTTTTCCTATCCCATCTACGGAACGATTTAGGAGTAATGGCACCAACGCTTCAGAGCTCTACCCAATCATGAGCGTCTCAGACCGAGCGAAGGAGCTGTCACAAGAAGCTAGTCGTGAGCTCGCCAAAGCCTCTGTTAAGGTACAGAAGGAAGATGGAGGCATCGAGCTATATTCCCCCAAGTTCTATGCTGCTTGTACTTTGGGTGGTCTTCTTGCTTGTGTAAGTGGACCTTATGACTGGGTCGATTGGAATAGGTGGGCTATTTTCTGACAATTACATGTAGGGTTTGACACATACGGCTGTTACGCCTCTAGATTTGGTGAAATGCCGACGGCAGGTGGACCCAAGGCTCTACAAAGGGAATCTGGAAGCATGGAAATTGATTGGGAGAGCTGAAGGGTTCCGAGGAATTATGACGGGGTGGTCACCAACATTCTTTGGATACTCTGTAAGTTGAGATGTCCGATATATTCCTAGAGCGAGCTAATATACTTAACAGGCACAAGGTGCATTTAAATATGGTGGTTATGAGTTCTTCAAGAAATTCTACTCGTAAGCTTACTCAAGTCCATATCCAATGGCTATCATCACCTTACTCACTGGTATCAATGCTATAGTGACCTCCTTGGCCCTGAGAAGGCATACAAATACAAAACCTGGGTATTCCTAGCAGGGT